ACTTAACCACCATAGAGTTCATTATTTATATATATATAAAAAAATAAAATTAAAAATAAAATGATACTTACATTTAGTATTAAAAAAGGGTAATTATATGTAAAAATACGCAAAAATTAAAACTACCAAACAAAATACCATAAAATTAGGGTAAATTAAAATGAAAAGCAAAAAATAATGAGAACGTTTTCGAGCAATGGGATATAAATAAGAAGTTAAAGGAATGAATTACTAAAATAGATTAGTTTGTAACAAAGTAAATTAACATTTAAATAATGCATACACTGAAATAAGTGGAGATAAAATTAGTTATAAAGAAACTAGTGAATGTATGTGTAAGAAAACGTTGAGAGTTAAAACGCTATTTAACCCAAATATGTTATGCAAGTGAGTTTGGTTTGTATAGTTTACTAGATATCATTGAAATGTTTCAACAATTTTGTTTCTCGTATTTTATATACATATACAGATATATTTTGCTCGTCCAACTATATCCTCCCCTCTATTTGAAACATTATTATATTATTTATATATTTCACAAAAGCAATATGTACTCAGTTCGTCCTATAAATCCTCGGAAGATAGCTATTATAGTTACAATGACAAATACGTAACAGTCGAATATAAAATTAGAATTCCATGCCGATTCAAAATATAAATACATTGTAAACCTTTTGATGTAAATTTTCAGTGTGATAACAGGAGACGAAGAAAAAATATTGTTTTTTTTCCATATTATAGTTAAACATTTATTGCAATAATCAAGAGAAGCTTATTTTTAGGCTTTAGTTTGAAGATAAATTCGACAGAAAAAGTGTCCGCATTTCACGAAATACCATATTGTTAATTCTTAAAATTTTTTCTCAAATAATAATAACAAAGAATTGAATTAAAAAAAAAATGCATATGTGCACATTTTTGTATTTTGTGTTTGATCGAAACGTGTGAAAAGTATCTTCACCAAATAAGCGATAATTTTTGAAATAGAATGTCTCTATTTGACTGGAGAAGTCATCATATAAGGACACATGACCTTTGAAGTCTTTGGTATATTAGGTAAATCTTTTTATCACTATCACTAGTAACCCTAAAGCTTATAATCCACCTTTTATTTACATTTGAGTGGTGCCTCCCCCCGCCCTTTTTTTATATAAACTTATAGAAAGTAAACCACAATTAACTCCAATTTGAAAAACGTGTCTTAAACTATCAAAAATACAACTTTGCGCTCAGTATCTCTCATTTCTAAGCGCAGATCGATAAAGAATGATGAATATTAAATTGAAAGTTCTTACTTATTAGTAAAATATTTTATATATTTATAAATGTCAAAGGACAAGGCATATGGGCAAACCATAAAATGTTGAAAAAAGTCCAAAATGTGAATCTTTACACACCCCCATTTTTTCGATTTGCAACGATATTATACGGACTTTAGGGAGCCAAGTCAATAAGAGAAAATATTTGTCTGTTCGTTGCAACATGATGAACTGATAACTTAACATTGTGCAAGTTTTTAGACAAGAAATAAAGCACTGCGTTTACATAGTATAGTTGTCTTTACGTATATTTCATTTTCTTTTTTTAAATTACGATCGCATAAAAGGCGGTTTGCAAAAGTTTCTGTCAGCCTGTTAAAAATTTGAGAATATTCGGTTAAACGGTGGTTGCAGTTGCAGAGAGTATAAATTAATTCGGTTCGATTTCTAAGAGAGGGCGCAAGGGAGTGATACCATTGTAGAGTATAGAATAAAACTTGTGACTTCTTCATTTGAAAGTGTTTTCTTTAAACGACGCGCAATTGTACAAATTATCGCACTAAAACGTACATAACATAGTCTCTTGGAGCTATAAACAGGCGTAGTTCTGTTCCAAAAAACGACGGATATGGGAAACAACGATCAAGCTGAATATTCAGTCAGCTGGTCATTTATTTTTATGGTATGGTTTACTCGAACAAAATGAAACGATCATTAAGAAGTGCCACAACCAATACGTGGCGTAATTACGCCAAAAAATGGGCGGGCTATGCCAAAAGTCATGATAACGCCAGTTTTCCAGAAACCCAAGCGAACCGAATAAATTTGTTCTTTTTTTTCATTCCAAACACTTCTCCACTTCGCAGCATAAATATGCTGCAATTTTTCATAAATAATTCTAAATTTAATCGAAATAGTAATTTAAAATTTAGTATTTATTTTTTAATTTATAATGATTCTAAAACATTCGGATGTACCTGTAAGATTACATTCATTCTTCCACGTATAACACTTAGCGATGTTTTTAGAGTAATTTATTACTAATATCTTGCTCCGCAACTTATTGTTTCGGACCATTGCTAACAGCTAAAGCTTTTACATTTTTTTCTTTTATTAATATTATGTTGCCAAAGTCAAGACCAATCGGAACCATTCTTTTCAGTAATATTTTTAGTAGATTACTATATTTCAATCTTACGCAAAATTTTAAGAAATGGGTTTTGTATTTGGTAAGTTTTCAAATCTTTAACTAATGACCAATAGTCTTAAAGATTTTATTTCATCATATATGTAAGGCTAACGACTTGCGTTTATATTTAAGTAAAAATTTGGAGCAAATTTTCAAGCACAAGTTTTGACGGTTTGAAATTCTGATGAGGCATTACGGCTATGAGAGATTTAAGCAGATAGGAACAACTTCTGGAGAAGAATTTCCGCGAAAATAATCAATAAGTTCTGTAATTTTTAAGAGCCATAACAGTTAAAAAAATATGTTTTTTATGAAAAATGTAATATTTATTGAAAAATTGACAACTAATTTAGGAAAAATCTTCAAAATATACTCATATATAAATGTAAATAAAAAGACAGTGAAAAAAATTATTAACCTATTCATAAAAATCAATCAAACAATTTGTGGGACATGACCGGATAAGTTATTACAGTAATGTTGCGTAATGACAACTTTAACCATACCAGTTATACATATTATCAAATTGAGAAAACAAATGATTCCAATAAATTTAGTTAAAATTAGTCATGAAACAGTAAATGAACAAAAAAAAAAAAAAATCTGGAAATAAAAACCAACAATAATAGTAACTTAAAATTAAGTATAAAACAATTAGTAGATCTTTCAGAAAATTTAAAATGCATTTCGTTTGTTTTTTCATTTCGTATTTAATTTTTCCTAACATCATCATTAAAACAGCATTCGTTATTAAACTTGTAAGTTATATAAAGTACATAAGAAATTAATATTAAAATAGAGTAACATTATATTACACACACACGGAAACTGAATTTTCACTTCTTGAAAAGTGAAAAAAAAGTGAATGAATGAATGAAAATATATTCCATTTGATATAAAAAAAAGAAATAATAAAGTTAATTTACCAATATTTATAAATGCATAGTAATTATAATTGTAATTGCATAATTATTATTAATTAATTATAATTAAACCGGCAAAAGAAGAAACAAATAACAGTAACGTAACAGCAACCAATAAAAAGAACAAAAACATATTATATTAAAGTATAATCAGATGAGAAAAGAACAGCATAAATATGTGAAAGAAATTAATAAAAGAAATATGGTATAATCAATAATAATATATATATATATATATATATATTATATATAATATATGCAATAAATCTATATATTATATATATTGTATATATATTATACATATATTATATATATATTATGTATATTATATATATATTATGTATATTATGTATATTATGTATATTATATATATATTATATATATTATATATATTATATATGTAATAATGCAAAGTGCTTTAAAGACATTTTTCTCTAAGAAAGTCTTTCGGAATTTGATTTAGTAAGTTTTTATTATAATTCGAGCTTAGGCTTACGTGACTTTTAGGCAGTGGAATTTTATTGGAAAAGAATTGAATCTCAAAAAAAAGTTTTCATAAATTACTTTTATTCTTCTTTAAGTAGATATTCCATAAGCCTTTATTTAAATTGCATTCAGCATGGAAATTTTCTATCGATATTCTCTGCACTTCCATACAGCCAACTTGAAATTTTGCATACGTCCTCTGCGTATATTTAAAACTTCAGCCAGTTTTTGTCTTTACAATGTCCGTGTTATGGATATCAAGCAAAAGGGCTCTGAGAGTAGAATGCGACAATCTAGAAGTGTTAATTCGACACTAAAAATGGCGCAAGTCGCAGTGTTGCGAATGATTTTTTTCTTAACAATCCGCACGATATTGGTATCGATTATATCTAAGTAGTGATAAATAAATTATTTAAAAAACAATTTTTTAAATAAGTTCTTTTACACGAGTGTACATAAAAGCTTAGGATGCTTCGAAAAATGGAATTTCGTACACATTAACTTTTAAACGTCCCAAACTTTAATGTATACTTAGATAAAAGCGACTGGGACAAAATTTATTTTCATTTAAATGAAAGCTCATTTAGAAAATTTGTTTTGTAAATAAACTACTCTAAGTGAACATAGATATAACGGTACAAGAAACATACATTTTTTGTTAGCTAAAAACGACTTTTCAAATATATTTTTACACTGAATTTCGTCTTGTACCTTTTGCGCTAATAGCTCACTTGGTACATTTTCTTATACGTTATATCTGAAATTTCGAAATGAAAGTAGGGTCAGATTACCCGAAAAAACAAGTTGCGGACACAGCTTTTCTTTGTTAAATATTTACAAAATACTTTTTATAAATCGTGTATATTTGAAATAACTTTTGCATAAATTTTTTTATGCTGTAAACCTCATGGCCAATTCCGATAATTTAAAGGTACTTTCACAATATCTGTTTTATATCTATTTTAAGTTAAGGATAGTAATTTGGAAATAGTTCCGCAAAATTTTGTTTCTTTCAAAAGTGTTTGAAGTGCTAGGATAATTTTCTTCGATCAAATATATTGGTTACATATTACATCTTTTGTCTAAAAGTTATTTGTAAATGCATCTTGAAATATTTTTATTTGTTATTTCTGCTTATTTAAGGGCTTCTGTCGCTTCCTACATCGGGTCCACAATCGAACAGCTTATGTAGTTTAACTGGTGTTGGTGGTGTAGGAAGTGTCGGTACAGGCAGCAGCAGTAATAACAATCAAACGTCATTACTACGTGGTAGAGGTAGCGGAGCAGGAGCAGGGTTTGATCATACAAATATTATGATGAAGTCCCTATATGAAGTGCAACACCACCAACATCAACCCGTTCTCTTGACGACTCAACCATCGTTGCACGGTTTATTGTCACCGCCTTCTAGCAATTGTACAACCACTAGTGCCGTTCAGTGCGCGAACGCAAATAGCAACAGCAGTTATCCCCTTGCCATGGACTGTGATCCGCCATTGCAACAACAACAAACGCAACAGCAGATGCCACCACCTCCGCCTCCTGTAATGATAAGCAATCATACATCATTAACTGCACGCTTCGGGGTTTGCAGCGGTGATACTAGTAGTAGCAGTAGTGGTGGTCTCGTTCCTTCGACTTCGCGTTTAAGTTCAAATTGTGGCTCTAGCAGTCGTTTGCGGCAGACAAACGTCTTTACGGGAGGCCTAAATATGCATCAACATCAGAAGCCCCATCATACGCACCAGTCAAGTGGGGGACCTGTAAGTTCACTATTATCATCCAATCAACAACTGCCACATCAACAAAACTATGCACCCGCTTCATTACCTCTGGATTTAGCTAATCATCCATTAACAACAGCAGCTTCTCATTTAATGATAACTGACTCAAGTGTTATAAGCGCTAGTTTAGCTAGCGCCAGTTCCGGACCTACTTCCTATGTGAGTTCATGGCAAACGTCGCCTGCCAACGCACATATCTATGGATTGCCGCCATCAGCAGCAGATAGCTCAGCTTTGCAACATCATCTGCAGCAGCAGCAACAACAATTACATATGCAACAACATCAGCAGCAGCCAATGCATATGAGGAGAATAGATAATAGTGGTATTCGCTTACCTATAAATAATGGAAACAATAGTAATAGCGGAGGAAGCAATAGCAGCAATACTAACTCCGGTACCGGTAATGGTGATACGTCTTCTCCTATGATGGGCGTTTGTGTTCAACAGAGTCCTGTAGTTATTCATTAGCTACCTTGTATGTATTTCAGTGTACGTGAGAGTGAGTGTCTTTGCTATGTTTTCTATTACACTCTTTCATCCCACTAAAAAACTATACATCTCCTTACTTTTCTATTATGCTTTATTATTTATATATTTTTCATTGCCGCATATACTTGTAATTATTATTATTTTTTTTTTTACAAAATATATTAAAAGGAAATTTTTACCTCTCAGCTACATACGTATATATACATTATATACTTCATGTAAATATGTATGTTTATATATGCGATAATTTATGTTTATAGGGAATATCATTTGACTTTTTTTATCTTTTTGTGTTTTTATGTTAAAGTTTTGCTTGGTATATTTGTCACTTTATGAGAAACCTTTCTAAAAAATTTTTTTACATTGTTTGCCATTTCTTATTCTCGTGAAGAACATTTAATGTATAAGTACAAAACATTTTATAAAAAATGCTGTTGTTTCATACGCAAACGGTATTCCTGAAAGTTAACAGTTTCTAAAGAATGGCCAGAACATAAAAACTTTGTCTATGTAGAGACATTTTAAATAATTTTCGTATTATTTCTTATCCATAGTATATATAGCTGATTTCTGTTTTTTTATTTTATTTTCTATATAGTTTATACGCTGCAACGCAAGTAAAAACAACTTTTAAAGTTTTCATTTTGTCGGAATATTTATCTATTCTTATCCGTCCAATTCAAGGCAAAAATCATTTGACAACTTTTTCATAATAAGATTAAATTTCACTCTCATCCAATGCCTTTTAACAAAATGAGCCACATTTTGCTAAACAATTCAAATGGAAAAAGAAATTTTTTCCTTAAAGTAAGTAAAAAGTATGTAACAAGTGAATCAAGTTTTAAAATAATTATATTTTTTAAGAATTTAGTTAAATACAGTTTTGTTAAAGTTCATTAAAAAAAGCTACAAAAATTACTCAATAATTTTACTTTTTTCTCTATTTTTCTTTTTTTATATATAAATCTTAGTCCATCAAATATAGCTAAATATATATATATTTTTTACAATTAGTTAACTATTATTAACATTTTTCTCTTGTTTTAAAAAAATCCTTTGGTCGATACATATGTAAAATTACACATGTAAATTATAAAAGCGATTCTACTTTTAAGTATATACATTCAGCTTGTTTGCTGTCACCCATAAACTGTCAGACCGCCCGCGTTGTTCCCAGCATAACTACCTAGTGCATTACCTTGTACAGGTTTCTAATAATTTCAAAATTTTCTAAAGTTTTTGATACGAATTTTAGGACCGTGCCTGTTCCAGAAGTTACGATAATTTTTCACTGCCTGTCAAGGGTATGAATTTACGATATGCTTTCTCTCTGTTTGTTGTCTAACATAGATTTTTTTTATTAGGTATATAATGACCTGGAGGAGCGAAACACTCTTGCTGTATATAAACATTCGGTTCGCTAGCCCGAATATTCTAGTTCGTGAGAAGAGTTCTATTACAGCACACGAATTCCTCATGAGTTTTAAAAACTTATTGTACGTTAGGTTTTGCATTTTTAGTTCGTTCTTAAGGACCAACGCCTAATTTGACATGCGCTGTCAGGCCCTTCTTTGTACTCTTGCAGCTAGATTAGATTATTAGCGTTCCATTCATATCTTCAAGTCTTGTACCTTACGATCTGCTACAATAGTTCCTAAATAGCTCTGCGTTTCCATAGCTTCATCTTAGTTAGCTATATGAACATCCTCAAGGTTTCTATCCGCCTAAATACCATCATATAATATAGATTTATTGGCGGCAGATACAAGAAAGCCATTGGAGAGTCACCTTAAAAAGTCCCTGCTTGCTCGGCAGCATGTTAGTGCCGCAGAGTCAAAAGTCTCCTCTTAGTTCACATATATCATGTAGATATATCTATCTTTTGCATGTGTTTGTTTACAAACAATGACATTTACAATCAAATGGGTCTTTCTATCCTTTCCATTCAGTTTTAATAATGCTATTTTTTTTATGGTATTTTGTTATGGTTACATTAATTGTTATTACTTTGTCTAAGGTTGGCAAGTGCTTTATTAATCTATCGTCTGTGCGATCTTCTTCTTATGAGCTAGACATTTCACTTCCTGTAGCAAGCACCGGCATTTGTTTTGATTCATCCATTGGTATTAATTGTCTTTTCAATTGCCTGTCTATAAACGGTCACTGTTCTGTTCTCTGTTTTAGGATAACCATTTTGTTTAAAATTTAAATATTATAGGGTATCAATTTGTTTTTCTTATTTCGCACTAAAAAATTTATCAGAATTTCCATGCAT